AGAAGAAGAAAGACGACGACGACGAAGACAACGACGAAGACAACGAAGACGACGAGGAGAAGGAGGAGGAAGCATGTGAAATGTGGAATTAATTCAGGATGCTCAAAATGTCTTGATCTGAGAAGGTGATCAGAGGATAAATACTAAAGCAAAGGTAAAAAAAAAGACCATGAAGTTATAAGACGCAGAAAATACAGAAAACCTGAATACTTTAGCTATGTAATGGGGAACCAAGAATAAATATTCTTATATCTCACTTGCAAAATCAATAGGAAAAAAATAAAATAAAGAAGACAAAGAACGTGATGGCAGAAAAAGCTTGGAAACTGTGAGTTGTAGACCGTGCAGCATCCTTGCTCACAGCTAAATCATTCAGAGTTGGAATAGCCATGATTATGTTTAACCTGTGACATTAGAGGAAGAATAACAAAAAGACAGACCGCCAGGGTGTTCATAGAAACAGCTGGAAGGTTGTCATGGGTTTCCCTGATAGCTCAGCTTTGAGGCAGTGTTTCCAGAGCACTCTGTGAAAAAACAACAACACACACACAGTAAAGTAGAGCCATGGCACTGCCTAGAAACTTGATAGAAGATGGGGTTGATGGGATATTGGGTCTTCAGTTGCTGTCCTCCAGAAGGACTGGGGTGTAGGGGCTCCAGAGTTTATGCCAGTATCCGAAGTTTGCACGCTTTGGCTGCCAGGGAGCCTCAGATATGTAGATACTGAAGACATCAACACGGAAGACACGGAATGGGAAGGAGCTGCCATGAGAGTTTATAACACTAGTAGGCATCCTTCACTCTCGAGAGACTATGGTATCATGCTCTGAATAGAGGTCTTGGAAAGAGCATCTAGTGTGGCTGAGAAGGCCAATGTGAGAGTGACAATTCCTTCCACACTGAAGACAAATATAATCTGTCCCCTGTCTAGCTCCCTGGTTTTGCTAATTCCGGGACTGCCTTTTTGCCTCAGCCTGCTGGACAAGGGTCTCTTCAAATTGGGAGAGGCGGTGATGCACCGCCTGGCTCCAGGCTGAACACTCAGATGTCAGGGTTTCCCATCTGTTGAGGTCTATTCCTAAGGCCTTCAGATCCCGCTTGCAGATCTCCTTGCATCGCAGCTGTGGTCTCCCTCTGGGGTGCTTTCCCTGCACTAATTCTCCATACAGGAGACCTTTTGGAATCCAACCATCAGCCATTCTCACAACATGCCCAAGCCAACATATAACACTGACCCTTCCTTAACAATCTAAGTGATTAAAACAGAAGGGATTGGCCTTCATCAGAACTATATAAACCCATCAAGTGGTGGAGGGGGAAAAAGCAAGCTGCACTAATTAACTGTCACAGAGTGATGGATTTTTCTAGGCTAACTGTCACGATGGGTGATGTAAATCATTTGCCCTGGTTTAAAAACGGTGTAATCTTTGAGAAATTAGCCATTTAATTGTAACTGCATCCTCTCGGTTTTTTAAAGGGTATTAACTGTTTCTCGTTTTCACTCAGCCCAGTAATTAACTGAAAGTAGCCACAGACCTCTGAACTGGGGGCAAGTCATTTCTCAGTAATTATTCTTATCGGTCTTATTCAAATAGCCTTGTCTGTGACCAACAGATAATGTTTATCTTACAACCATTTTTTCCCAATAAATCAATATTTGTAAGCGAACCATTCTCTTCCCAGAGGAGCACATGTTTCTAGATTAAACCAGGGAGGGCGACCAATAATGTATTACATTCCAGGCAGAAATTGGGGGTTAAACGAGGGTGCCAATTTGTCTGGAAGTGCTTTGTGCTGTACTGTAAAGCTTTCAATGCCTGGAAACATTTGCAGACAATGGCCTTCCATAGAGGAACGAGAGCTGTTAAAGGAAGCAAAGTCGAGGCGACTGACGTCAGCTGGATGCGAGCCAAGATCAGACCTCTTTTAGGATAGCGCTCATGTTTATGGGATCTGGGGTCAACAACCTAGAAGGAAAGGGGAAGAGGTCTCTGCATAGGCTACTTGGAGTCCATGTGCCCAGATGTGCTCCACACCAGAATGAAGACCTCACAAATCAAGCTCAGCTTTTTGGACAATTTCAAGCCCTACTTTTCTTCACTTGGTAATTGTACACTGTGAAGACTCCATTTCTGGAAGCAAGGAAATGCAAACTGCAAGCCAATTGAATGGTGGAGGAACGGCCGTGGAGAGAGAGAGAGAGAGATGGGCTCTCTCTGTGTGTGTGTGTGAGAGAGAGAGATGGGCTCTCTGTTTTGTTTTCATTCCCCCCTTCTTCCCCACCCTCCAGCCTCTAGGCAACAGCCCCCAGCTGCCTCCTAACCAGTCACTGGGTATGGAGTGGGTGCAAGATCTTTAAATGCTAATGGGCACCCCACCTCGATGTTTCCTTCTTGAAAGGATCACGCAACCAGCCTTTCCATGCACTATTTCTGTCTATTCCTTCTCTCCCTTCCTTCTTTTTCCCTTGATCTTAAGTTAGCCGTGCTGTAGCCGCAAGACTTTGATGACTTTAACAGTGATTAAGGTCGTTTCTAAAGAGATGTGCGTATTCGTCTTTGTCTTCCTTAGTTTCTCCTTCTTTATTCACCCTTGCAGTCAGGGTGCTTGAACACCAGGTTGAACACCAAGGACCCATGAGTGTGGCGCTCTGCCATGGGCTCCTTGCTTTGCCCCCACAGTGCCCCCAGAAATGAAAAAGCCCTGATTCAACTTCCTTGTCCAAAGACAGCGGCACAAACTGGCTTTGAATGGAAGGCAGGTTGTAAATTAAGCTTAAAGTCTGAGCTCCCCACTTCAGTTCAAACCTCCCATCTCCTCCTCCTCCTCCTCCACCTTGTGGCCCTTCAGCCATATCCTTCAAGTCTTAGGGGCCCTCTGGAACAGTGGGATGGGGGAAGTCCTTTGAAAAGGAGGGACTTGGACAATTGATCTGGGATATTGCAATACATCTGAAATGATATGCATTGTGGGAACACGATTTTTAGGGAAGACTTTGAAACTCCTTGCAAGAATCTCTATTCTGTGTTGGCCACCCAAGCTCTCCTGCTACCTGAGATAGGAAGAGAAGCAGCAATGCTAGGCTATACCCTCTTTGCTGCAGCCTGCTGGCCTCCCCACCATCTGCTCCTTTGCCTCCCTGCTTTATTTTTCGATGATGATGCACCAGACTGGCTCTATCCAATCCTTCTAAAGATACACTGTCTGATTTGCATCAGTGGCTGTTCCTTGAAGCAGAGGATGGGCGGGTGGTTGGGTGGCAGGAGATTGCCCGCAAGGAACAGTCATGTGAGTGGGCAAGTGGCGGGGGATGGCATGGGCACAATGGGAAGGTGTGGCATGGAGGGGATGGGGCTGAGAAGGGTGGGAGAGAGAGAGTTGAAGCAGGGAAGGAAAGGGAACCTCCTGATGGCACAAGCGGCATCATTTGTGGCTCCTGGGGTTGGGCCTCCTTAAGACCATCTCCTCCCTCTCCCTGATGACGGGGCCAGCTCTGCTGCTAATGGTTGGAAGTCCTGATCCAATCTTGTTTTCATTCCTGCTCTTTCATATCCTTGTTAGGTGGTGAAACTGGAGACTGAACTCATGGTCTTCTCCAGATGCACTCCAGTTGCTATGCCACAGAACGACAACACATTTGCCTGCCTACCACGCCCCTAATCACACACACACACACACACACACACACTCCTGTCACTCTATCCACTTCACCACACTGGTTGTCATTTGCTAATTGTTTGTATAGTACTAGAAAACTAGAGGGACGTGGTGGCGCTGTGGGTTAAACCGCAGAAGCCTCTGTGCTGCAAGGTCAGAAGACCAGCCGTCGTAAGATTGAATCCACGCGACGGAGTGACCTCCTGTCGCTTGTCCCAGCTCCTGCCAACCTAGCAGTTCGAAAGCATATTAAAATGCGAGTCGATAAATAGGTACCACCTTGATGGGAAGGTAACAGCATTCCGTGTGTAGTCACGCTGGCCACGTGATCACGGAAACTGTCTTCAGACACGTTGGCTCTACGGCTTGGAGATGGGGATGAGCACCACTCCCTAGGGTCAGACATGACTGGACACGAATGTCAAGGGGAACCTTTACTTACTAGAAAACTGTCTTTCTGTATGGAATATTACGTTTTCTGAAATTCAGAATGTCAGCAGATGTACGTAGGCTTGAAGTCATTGAGATCTCTCTGTCTGCTCCTGTTATCCGTATAATTGAATATTACTGTAGTAATTTAATATTGATTTGCGACAGGTGCTGTCAAAATGGTTTTCGTTCAACTGACCCACTTTAAAAACGAACTTATCATGGAATCGGTTGAAATAGCGGACTATGATTCTACAGTTTTGAGACAGGTCACTACTGTGCAAAGTTATGCCACTATTACATGTTTATGTGTACAGTACTTAGAGTGTGTTGTAATCATCATTCTAGGGCCGCCATGTGAAGACTGGGCAGCTAGCAGCAATCAAGATGATGAACGTGACCGAGGTGAGTAAGGAGATTGTTTGACCTTGTTTTGCGGAGGGGGGGGAGTGTTAATTGAGAAATTAACATTAATCAGAGAAGCAGCTGTCATGTTTGCATTATCTGACGTTCACTCCACCAAGAAAATTGGACCCATGGATGGTTCTAAGCAGAAAAGGGGCAGGTGCATAAGAGCCAAAATATCTGCAATTCAAAGAGAGGATTCTTCATTTGCCTGGAAGGTTTTACTGATGCAGCAGGAAGTTTTCACACACTTTCCAATGTTTTGTAGTTGGAAGCAAGCATGGGTTTTATTTATGTTTGGTTGCTGAGACACAAACGTCTGTCTGAGTCACATCATGGCATTGCTACCAGATTTGAAACTTCTCTTATTATTGTGGGCCATCAATCCACATCCAACTCATGGGGGCCCTAATAGGCATGTGAGATATTTAATAAGGGATTTTTATCAGGACCAGCCCTCAGTGAATTACCATGGCCAACAGGAATTTGAACCCAGATCTCCTGAGCCTTGGTATGTTTCCTCTGTGTCCACTGTGTTTCACACTAGCTTCCTAGTGGCAGGCAGTCTGTAACATACAGCCAACTCTTGGCAAATTGAGAAAGACTTCTACCTGTAGATTGTACCCCCTGGAAATAAAGGAAGAGAGATTTTTCAAGGTGTAGACCACGTCAAGTGATATTCTAGTGCAGCAAAGACGAAACTCTCACTGGAGTGGTATCACTTCTCAGATCGAATCCAGGAATGGAGCGCAAAATTTGGTGAAGAAACAAACCGGGCCATTGAGGGGCAGGAAGGCTGATCCAAAATGGCGGCCCACTACGCCCGCAGTGCTAGAAATACAGCTCACTCGAAAGAAGAGCCGGGCCGGAAGGCGGTGTCACTGAGGGCGTTGCCTATACAAGGAACAGATCTGGCAATTTGCTAGTTAGTCATAATACCTATTACAACAGAGGCAGAGAAAACGACTCGTCCCGAGTGTAGAAATGATGGCTTATTTGCAGGAGAAAATCATCTCCTTGCATAAAGACTGTTCTTTGCGCTGTTCTTTCTTCTTCCAGCGCAGGGAGGATGGCCGGACGGACCCCTGGTCCCCGTTCTCAATCATGCCTACACAATTGGGGCATGGCAATTGAAGAAGTCTGTTGTATATATTTTCCTGGTCTATAATAATAATGAAGCAACAATACCTCTTCCTGCTTATTTCTGAGTGATTATCTGTTTCCAGAGATAGCAAATGGAAGACTTCCTGTCAGATTTCTATAGCTCCTGCTGTGTGTTTATGACATCCCTCGTCCCTCTCCTTCAGAGCCAGTTGATCAGCCAAATCTAGGCCAGCGCAGGCATGTCGGCATCACAGAGGAGCAGAGAAGTCGTAAATGCAAATATTGCTTCTCCTCCCCTGTTTTGAAAATGGAGGAGAGGGCAGGGGCAATTTTTAATTTCCCACTTGTAAAGTGAGGCTGCAGTTATTGTTCCAAACTGTAAATGTGAGTGGAGTAGATGAGTGTAGCAAAATGGCTTCCCTAAACAGAGCACTGACCCTTATAGTCCTGTACGGAGTGGCTATCTATATTAAGTTATAGCCTAGGCAAGACTCTATGTTATAGTCTAATCAACACTCTCCTCCCCTCTTCACTGGAACCTACAGGGGGGCAGACCTCAATGGCAGGTTGGAAAAGTTACTTTTTTAAAACTCCCAGTAGCCATGAACAACAACAACAACAACAAACAACAACCTACAGGGGGCAGACTTCAATGGCAGGTTGGAAAAGTTATTTTTTTAAAACTCCCAGTAGCCACACTGGCTGGGGCAAGCTGGGAGTTGAAGTCCAAAAGGGGAACTCTGCCAAGCTCTTGGTGGACCAGTGACTCATGCAGGGATACAACAGGCAGCCTCTTTGACAGGAAGGCAACTCTGCTAAACTGTGGAGGCCTGAAGAAGTAGAAGGGCTCTCAACAGGCACCAAAAAGTAAAGAAAGACCAGCACCCAGTCTATAAAATGAGTTGGGGTGTGGAGAAGAACAGTGGTTTCCTCCTTGTTTCATAAGGAAATTGTCTACGGTAGTCTAACAAAGTTGACCTGGTGCAAGATGCTGGAGTTCACCCTTGAGTTCAATTGTGAGCAGAATGGGATTTCCTGGCAGATCTCTGTGTGAGCTCTGGGGGCCGGCCCTTAGTTAAGCCCAGCTAGGCGGGAATATTCGTGTATGAATACGAATTCCCCCATCTCTATGTGTGGCAAAAGGTTCTGATTCCAGGATGTCAAGGAGAATTTCCACACTGATGCAGAACAAGGCCTATGATAATCAGCAGCCATATTTGACAGGTGTGCAAAATGCTGAATCATGCAGTATGTGTATTAAATGAAGTGGTGTCTGGTATTTGACAGGTGTGCAAAATGCTGAATCATGCAGTATGTCTATTAAATGAAGTAGTGTCTGTGATGGTGCAGCGTCCTCACTCATTGGCTGTATGTAAATGTGCATGTGTAGAACTGTGTGGACAGGTGGAGATGATGCATGGATCTCTTCTGATTAATGTCGTGCTGCTGGTTTGTACTGCTAAAACTTCTGTACATATTGTAAGTATACTTGGTGTTGGAAGAAGCTGTCTTTGCCGGCATCATTCAACTGGACTGTCCTGGACTGGGACAAAATCTCTGCTAATTCACACCAACACAGGACTTGGCTTATTTTACAATATTAATATACAATGTTATTTTACAACAACAAACCACTGGCCTTCTACTGGTTTAAGCGGCTAAAATGAATATCAGTAGTGGATTTCAGAGTGAATTCATTTCCCATTTCGAAGTTTCCCGCCACTGAAGTCCACCCATAATGTCGTGCAAAGCAACCCCATCTCAGCCCCTCTGCAGGGTGTGTGGGGACCAAAATCTAAGCATGCCATGCTGCTCATGGGCTGCATTATTGCCTACTCTTTGGTCTCCAGTTTCCTTTGGTTCCACTTTGATTTGGCAGGCATTACTCCATCATTGCTAGATTTATCACTTCTAAAAGCCTTTCTCTCTCTCTCTCTCTCTCTCTCTCTCTTCGGCACTCTTATCTTCTACCTCCTTTGCTGTGGGTTCTGAGAACTCTGGCAATGCTCATCAGCTCTGGTCCCCCCCCTTTTTTTGATCTCACACTGCTTTGTGGTGGGTTGCTGGGCCAGCAGGATGCTGGTGGTGGTCACTATGAGATCATCTCTCTCCCCCCCCCTCCCCGTTTGTCAAGAAGAGCCGAGTCAGCGTGGGAAGGGCATGGGAACTTTCCTGCCTTCTGCCACGCCACTTCTGAGAGCCGTTGTGGGTTTCACCAGCATCTCTTCCGCCAGCTGTACTTCCTGTTATCTGGCAAAGTAAAGCAGGCAAGGCCTTCTTGGCAAGATCAAAGACTTTGTTCTTTTCTTTCTCTCCCCCCCCTTTTTTGGGTCTGGGGGGGCGGTTTGTCATTAGGCAGCCAGACACAGCACAGTTGGAGACGGTTGTCTCTGTTTGCTTTGGATGTCTTCGATTGCCGTGGATGTAGAAGAAATACTAAGCATCACAATCTAATAAGAAGAACTGTGATGCATTTCAAATATTTTCTAAGTATATAGGACAGATGGTCCAAAATAACCCTATAAGGAAGTCAGTGTCATTAGTTCTGAATGGCAGATGGAGGGCTGAGTCTGAGAGAAGGAGGACAGGATCCTTACCAAATGCAATTCCTAGGCGGAAGAAGCTGTTTAGTTCAAGGGCAGAATATGAGCTTGGCCTCTCAAGGTCAGAAAAGTTATAATTATTTTTAACATAACTCAAGCAAAGTCCAAAGCTAATATGGCTAGATCTATAAAAGAATGGTTTCTTAATTCTGCTTGAACTTCGCTGTGGGACTGTGGGAATTGTAGTCCAGGAAAAGTAACTTACTCATGTTTTGCTGTCTCACTGGTGCCTTATTTGAGTCCCTGTCATAAAGCACTGATTGTGTTCCTCCAACTTGCATGGAGATTTCCACCCCACACCCCACTCCGAAAAAATGAGTGAAACCTGAAACAGAACCATCAGGAAGTGAAATGAAGTATCACATGAGCATCTTTCCTTTGAGGTTAAAGGTGTGTGCTTGACAGCTTAAATGTGGCTGAGTTTCAGACTAGTTTCTGAGTGTCAAACCACCTATTTACAGCCAAGAAATTGCTTACGGTAAGCAATGGGAATTGTTGCTGATTACAAAACCCAAACCAAGACAATATGCTGCATGGGATAAAGATAAACACCCAAAAACAGACAAAGTTGACTCTTGATGGAATCTTCAGAACCAGCAGTGGGACGATCCTCTATCATGCCATGGGAAGCAGGCTAGTTTAAGGGACATACGACAGGTGGTTTGTGCCATGGGAAGCAGGCTAGTTTAAGGGACGTACGACAGGTGGTTTGTCATACAGTATATTACAAAAGTGAGTACACTAGTGTAGCTTTTCAAGTGACAACACTGAAGAAATGACACTTGGCTACAATGTAAAGCAGTGAGTATACAGCTTGTATAACTGTGTAAATGTGCTCTCCCCTCAAAATAACGCAACACACAGCCATTAATGTCTAAACCGCTGGCAACAAAAGTGAGTACACCCCTGAGAGTACACGCCTTCTTCACCTTGATACTTGTGACCTTCTCTTTTCCCACCCATCTCCACTTTTTCTGTCCAAAGGAAGAGGAGGAAGAAATCAAACTGGAAATCAACATGCTGAAGAAATATTCCCATCACCGCAATATTGCAACTTATTATGGCGCATTTGTAAGGAAAAGTCCTGCAGGTCAGGATGACCAGCTGTGGGTAGGTGTCCAGTTCCCTTTTTACTCTTATTGTAACATCCCTATTTGGTAATTCAGTTACTCTCAGTTCCTACTTAGGATTGACTCTGTTCCTTTATCGCTTCTCCAGGTCTCTCTGCTCTGCATTTTGTTCTTGAATTCCGTTTTAACTGTAAGAATTTCTCAGATGATTTCCGGCACGCATGACCATTTGTGGCTCATTGCCTCTTTTTCCTGCCTTAGCCCTATTTGCATCTTTCTTCACTCTGTCGTCCCAGTGTCACCAATATGCTAATGTGTATAATGATTTTTGTAGGCATGCTTTTACAGCAAGGGTGTTTTTATGAGACGTTTGGCTGGTGGCTGCCTGTCCTCCTGCACATTTATAAGACAGGATTCTTGATAGAGCTGTATGTCGTGTCCCATCCAATTCATTTTGTGTGTGATGTTTCACATATGTTTCACATGTGTGGGGGGGTGAAACAGGACATAAGAAGACTCTTTATAGGTTTACAGATGCAGTTGCTTGAAGATAGTCTTCTGATGTGCATGATCAAATTGTACATTTGCTTTGGTGATGTAGAAGTGAACGCTAAGACATTAATGGAATGGAAAGTACTGAAAGTATAACACAAAAGTACAGAGACTCACAGAAGAGAAAGCCTTCACATTCCCAGGCACACCACCCCTTTCCCCTGAACTGGCCCTTACAGTCTCTATATCTCTGAGACATTAGTAGTAGAAAGAATAAAAATGTTTCATTGCTTACCGTTGTGAACAGCTAACAGCAAACTAACAAATTGACAAGCTTAAAAAAACTTAAGTGAGGGAAACAGAACTCTCAGCAGAGAGGCAGGACTCTCTTTTGAGGAAGGATGGAAGAATTGTTGACGGATGGATAGATTGACAGTCACCCCAGCCAGAAAGGTCTCTCCTAGTGAAACCTACTAAAAGCAGCATGCGAGGTTGTACAAGCACCAACAGGAAGTTGTGATAAGTCACGAGCACAAAAGCTAGACTTAAAAATATGAAGCATGGGGTAACGTGAAGGCCAAACAAAAAGGCCCTCAGAGACCAATACTTTCCTTTCTTCTACTGCTCTCAAGAGTTGTCCCAAAGGAGGCTCCTGGTAGACCCTATGGATAAAGTTGACCGGTCTCTGTACACCAGTCTGAGCTCATTGGGGAAAAGAAAAGAGATAAATGAAGTCTAGTATCTGGAAGATGTGGTCTAATATTTAATTGTAAAAGATCATGGCTAAATGCAAAAGTATCTGGAAGATGTACTCTAAGATTTAGTTGAATCAGAACTAAGTGTCCTCTGGAGTCAGTGGCCTTCAGGCCTCTTGAAAGGTTGTAACGTTGTGGTTGTACTGGGACAGCCTTCATGGTTATCGACCATCTGGAAGCTGACTGATGACCACTATAACTGTCGTTTTGCACAGTTGTCCATGAAATTAGCAGTTGCGACCAGAGCAAAGAATCTAAGGAGCAAATGTTGTCTGTAGCGTTAGAAAGTGTTTTGGTGATATTAAAAAAAATATTATTATGGGGAAATGGGAAAAAATGGGAGCATTAGCAACTAGTGAAGCATGCACAGACGTGAGTGTGCTTTTAATGTTAATATCAAAGACGTGGCTGGCAAATGGGCTGGTGTCCATTGCCAGCTCATTTTCTGTACCTTGTGTTGTATCCCTTTTGTACATGTGACAGAGGTCTCTGAAGCTTTAGAGCGTGCCGCTGTCAACACAAACTGGCTCAGTTCCAATAAACAATCAAAGTTTTCTCGACAGGATCAATAATTTCTTCTGTATGAGAACAGTAATTGAAAACATGAACTTTCTTCTCCTGCTGCTCCTCACCAGGCATCTGTTTTGTAAAGCAAAGCTGGGCTCAGACCATAGTCATGTATTCATCATATGAGAAGTCAAGGAACAGTAGCTAGCATCATCACTCCAGCCTCTAGGTTGGCAAGCAGGATGCTCATAAAACATGCACAGGAAGCTAATGCCCATTCAGTTTACATGTCACAACCAAACCGTATTTTGGCCCTCGGGAACATGGCTTTCTCTCTGCACGTCTTTCTCTTTCCTCTCCTCCCTTCACCTGTGTTCATTCCTCCCTGGCTTCTTGGTATCTAACTGTGGTTCAGTAATAGTTACCCCCCCCCCCAAAAAACCCCGTTTT